ATGTCCAGATGGAGATCAGTGACGAGTGGTGTCCCTCAGGGGTCCGTACTGGGGCCAGTGCTGTTCAATATCTTCATCAATGACATAGACAGCAGGATCGAGTGCACCCTCAGCAAGTTTGCAGATGACACCAAGCAGAGCAGTGCAGTTGACACACCTGAGGGATGGGATGCCATCCAGAGGGACCTGGACAAGCTGCAGAAATGGGCCTGTGCGAACCTCATGAGGTTCAACAAGGCCAAGTGCAAGGTCCTGCATCTGGGTCGGGGCAATCCCTGGTATCAGTACAGGCTGGGGGATGAAGGGATTGAGAGCAGCCCTGCGGAGAAGTACCTGGGGGTACTGATAGATGGAAAGCTGGACATGAGCCGGCAATGTGCTCTCGCAGCCCAGAAGGCCAACCATATCCTGGGCTGCATCAGAAGAAGCATGGCCAGCAGGTCGAGGGAGGTGATTCTGCCCCTCTACTCTGTTCTGGTGAGACCCCACCTGGAGTACTGCGTCCAGCTCTGGGGTCCTCAGTACAAGAAGGACATAGACGTGTTGGAGCAGGTGTCAGTATAATTTCAACTTTCCTTGTCTGCCAGCTTGCATGGAAGGACAGGTATACATATAAACGTTCACATGTGTCTTCTGCTTTTGTTACAAAGACATTCAATGCTAGAGTAAATTCATAAGATTACCTCTTGAAGTCTGGACTATTTAAAACAGATAAAGAATGCTAAATCTTTAATAACATTTCAGTATTCCATAGTTCCTTTCTCCCAACAATATTTTTTGTATCATCTGGGCACTTTTTTAAACTAAAAGGCTATGCTGCAGCTTACTATAACTATACCTTTCTTCAAACCAGTCCCCTTCCTTTTCTCCCCACTCCACCTCAGCACCTTCAAACTCTCTCCCAGAGGGCAAAGGCATAATGAAAACTATGCTGTCACTAGACAGCAGAGAATATCTTTTGTATTTTCAGAGGTTGAAGGAGCATTCCTTTGTCAGAACACATTCCACTTGGAAAATAATAGCAGTTAGTTTACTGGGGGATGGGTAGTCTTCTCTATGCAAACTTCACAGTGACTGTAGAAACCACAAGTAAAAGGAAAAGTCTCTGTTGAGCAGTGTGCATGCTTATTAGAACTGCCCTGCAACCACATGCATCTAATCCACCTTCTGCTCATCTCTGAAATACCATGGGCCACAACCTGGCTACTTGGTCTGAACATTGCTTCAAAGGCCTGGATGTTTTAAAAAACATATTGATGATTATTTTTTTTTGTGATCCAGTGATACTAACTTTTGATAGTGTATATCATATTTGAGGGACAACTTCAGTTATTCCTGAAGTTGCTATTCTCCTTTCTGTTGTGTAAAGGGAAGGCATTTTGTTCTCAGTTGCTGTTAATCATGGACCATTTCCAAAGTTAAACAGTTTAAAGAGAGTCTTATTTTCAAGTGTCTGTGCTAACAAGAGTTCTGGCCTGTCACTTCTGGCATCTTTCTTTGTTGTTTAGGGGTCAGGGGTAATAAACTTACAGAATTGTACAATTATGTATCCTGGAGAGAATTCTGTCTTTCAGTTTTGTGTGCTTATCTAGGGCTAAAATACTAAAGACTAAGCAGGAGATACTTGTGGGTGAACAGCTTATAGAAACCACAATACATACGAATAACAGGTTTACAGCTTGTTCATAAATCTGAGACAAAATATTATATCATGCAGTGTTCAGGGCTTAACCTGATTTTGTACTTTGGATGGTAACAGTCTAATTGTATCAAACAGTTGCATACAGGTTTTTAGAGTATCTGTAATGTAATGCATTATAGCAGTCCACTGAAGTTCTCTTAACTTGGCCTCTTAACTCTTAATTATCATAATTAAGGGAAAAGCTTTCCCCCTTCCCCCAATAACTGTGGTGCACTTCACAAAATAAAGGCATTATTAAAATAAAATCACACTTCAGTATTGATACTTTCATGTCCATCTTGATTACCTGGACTGGAATTTTTCAAGTAGGGGTGGGAGAATAGTTGTGAAGACCTTGTTACTTTGGTAGCAGGGAAGGGGGGGGCAGTAAGAATAAAATATTTTTCCTGTATTGGCACGTTTGAAACTTCTCTTAAGTGCAGGCTGGCTAATTGTGCCTCTGTTTACAAGAAAAGTGAATATATTTATCTCTGTAGTAGCTTGTGGTTATTCTGTTAGAACAGGAGGTTGTTTGGGTTGTTTCTGAGGTGTGTTGGCTCTTTTTCAGGGCAGTTAGCTTGGGAATATCCTCTCCCACTGTAGTGAAAGTCTTGGGGTTGTTTCATATGCCTACCGTAGTAAACTAAACTACCTTTTAAGCCTTAACCTGGCAATGCAATTCAAAGCACAGCAGAGCAAAAACTTAAACTTAGTTCTGGATTGTTTGTGACAAGTATGTGCCTATCCATGCTACAGCAGCCTAGCAGAATGCTAATTATCTAGACTTGCAAAAACTTTGGCTCCATTACAGGGCCAAAAGGCCAGGTGCTCCCTTGGCTTCACTTATAGCTCCCCTGGGAAGAGGGGGGAAGCTTGCATGTGAGGGCTGAGTCCAGTTCTTGGGCACTGGAGATGCCCCGTAGCCTGGGATGGGTTTTGCAGCTTCAGCTTTGACTATAAATCATGAGCACCACCAGATGGTTAAGACTTACATTAGTGTGCCCAATATGTGGGAATCATCATGCTGATTTAACTTCAGTAATTTAACTTAATTAATGCCAGGTCTTGAATATCCAAGACCCACATCAATATATGCTGCTATGGTATTGACTTCACTGTGGGATCTGAATCTCCAGTGATTCTCCAATTGTTACAGTGTTATACCTGCTCCAGGACATACACGTTTTAAATTGTAATTTATATGCATTAAATGGGACTAAATATACTAGTTTATTTTCCCTGCGAGACGGTTGTAATTGAGATTAACTGTCATTTGGATACACTGCTTCATATATGTTAAGAAGTCTTATCCATCCTGATTGATGGATTGTAAAACTTCATTAATCCCCTGTAACCTCTTGTCTGTTTGCTAGGATGGATACATATAGCCATTTTAAATTTCAAGAGTTGCTTTTAATGTTATTTGGAAGCAGTTTATAACAGAAATGTTGAGTCTCTTGTCATGAAACAGCCAGTTGAGAATTACAGCCAAACCCATAGTCTTCAGTGAAGCTCTTTATATTGGGTTTGTGCGGCAAGGTTTTGGTAGCGGGGGGGCCACAGGGGTGGCTTCCGCGGGAAGCTGCTAGAAGCTTCCCCTGTGTCCGATAGAGACAATGCCAGCCCACTACAACAGA